GTTATTAAGTTCAGAGCGAGGTTCAGATGAATTATTTACGGTGATGTTCGTTGTAATGTTGTAGGTTATGGTTGTACTAGCCAGGTATTGTGTCGTCTCGAGTTTAATAGAAAACTGGTAGGTATAGCTACCTGGGTAATTATATGTGAAGTAAGCTCAGCTTCATGCAGCCCGACAACAAGAAATCAATAGTTGCAACCTGTTACAGTGTTTCTCTTTGCAGTTATGTACTGGGAAAGTACAGTTTCGTCTAAAGTTTTATATAGAACAGCTCGCTCGGTAAATAACACGTCGGGTCGGAGGAAGCTCAAGACGAATTTCAAACTCGCTTAGCTAACAAAGGAAGTGAACGATATATAGGTAGGTATATATCTACCTAGAACGATAATAACTACAGAGTGAGACCGATGTGGACTAGTGATACCAATGTTATACCTAATTCAAGTGAGTGATATTTACCCACCTATGCTGACTGGTCAGTTATTTCTTCATTGAATTGAGGTAGTGTACAGTCACATGCAGATAACATGTCGCACATGGGCGGTGATTGCACTTCTATAGGTAGTCACTTTGCAATAAGAGTGCTAACACTGCTAACACCATCCAACCGCGATATGTTCTTTGTATTTCACTGTAAGTATGTACCTACATACTTATAAGGAACATTATTCAATACTAATTGTTAGTGTAAATTACTGTAAATCGATAGTTGGTTGATTTTTATTGGCACTGATGGTAGATTATGGCGTTCGAAGTGGGGCTACTTAGTTGATGTTGAGAGTTTGAATATTGAATTGGTACCTATTTGAGAATTCAGAAACGACTTTTTGACTTGGGTTGGAAGCGGATGTTCTCTTTTCTCGCAAAGATCGGAAGCTGCAAAATCCTATACTTCTCAACAATTTAGTCGTATAATCATAGACTACAGAAGATAAACTATTTCAGTAATCTTTGGTATAATGCAAGGTTGGTAGAATGATGATAATTTGGTATAATCTTGAAGAAATGCCATCTGTTTGACAATGCCAATAATAATAACCAAATCAGCCTCGCTAGAATTTCATTTCAACATCAATGAGATTGGAACTTTACAGTAACTCTTTACTGGTACTGGTACTAAGTAGATTATAAGCTCAAATTCGCACCACCAATATCATTTGATAAGGATAATAAAATACCTGCAGCACGAAAGCTGACCTTGGTTTCTGCATCTGTACCTAGATACAAGATTCAGTTTTTGTAATTTAGCATTGCATCAATTTATATTAATTCACCTGAATTCATGAATTCAACAAACAGAAAAATGTTATGTATTTTACAGTGACTATACTTTATCTAGAAAACATTAGGGTAAAAAAAAGTGTCTCATTGAAAAAGTGCAATTCTGAAATATTACCAAACCAAATTATGTACATATTGATATTCTTAGGAGAGTCCCATGAATTCAAAGAAGCAGTTTCCAAGGTAGGTGTTTGTATCAATTTGGTTTGAGAGTATGGCGGATTTATATAGTCTTTGTCTTAGTATCAGTACTAAGACCAAGCATAACCCGAATTTGAAAATCGTTATTTCAATGATTTTGAGTCTATGCATTAAGAAATAACCTTGAAAGTTGATTAATTTGAACTCTTATGCTGTGCTTATGCTTGTGTGGAATCTGCGCTTGCTCCATTCAATAATTTGTTGATGATTTGTTGCTATTGTAGCGTATTGTAGACTAGTTTCATTAGGTAAATTTCCTCATTTCTGATACAAAATGAACCACAAATTCTCAGATCATCTCTATATATATGATTAATATCAAGTTTTATTGTTTTTGGATAAATTGCACAAATATTCAAGACCAAAATTTGATACCAAGGCTATTCTTAGACTAAGGACTATACAAATATTACCAAAATCTGCAATAAAGCGAACATTTTTTGTATCGACCAGCTTTATACCAAAAAGCTGAAGAGAATCTCCTCTTATTATATCTAGCAATGCTAGTTATAATTGTCATTATTCTTTGAAATAAAATGGTTGTCTGGTTGGTTTGGCCGTGGGTGAGATAAGCTATGTTACGAACAATGATTGCCAAGTGCCTTCTTCTTCTTCTTTTTCTTCTCATCCTCTGCGACCGTTCGGTTTCTTGTTGCCAACCGAGCTGAATTGAAGGAAAATAAAAAATGGCGTTCAGTAGCCGGTGTACACGATCTCCATATATGGAGCAACTCGCTCGATTGCACGCCGCATTGCTGAATATTTTTAAAGGTGCCTCGTTGGCAATTTATCAGATTGACCTTTAGTTTGTCGCTGTGGAAATACAATAGAACGAATACCCAGTGAGTTCCGAATAATGGCGATTCGTTCGGTATCAACAGGCACCAGAGTGTAATAATTATTATGATGGCTATTCAGTTCGCAGCAATATTAAATTTTCACACGTCAGAAATTTACACCATCAGATCAAACATTTTGTCTGTGCAAGCAAGACTTGATTGGTTTGATATCCGAATCAAATACCTATCTTCTGATTAAGTAGGAATATTCAGAGATGTCCATATAGTATACAGGGCAAGATACAGGGTGTCTGGGAAAATGTGGAAAATCTCTTGGATTCCGATAGAATCTGAAAAAATAAACTTATTTTAATTTTTTTTCGCCTACCCTATATGATAATGAATCATATCAACCCTAAATATGTGTCTGAAAGTAATGTATATCGTCCCTTGGGCTGCTAAACTCATAACAACATGATTCTGTACTTGATGCGTGATGCATATTTTGACGTTTCACATAAATTTTCATTAAACGTCAGTGTGAATCAAAGTTCGGAATCAAGAGAACACATTATGTTTCTGGTATATAGTAGAAAAACAGTTGTGTGTCACACATGCAGAAGCCCTTCGCTTCGCTCGTGCAGCTGCACGTGCATTTTCTGACCTTATGATCCAATATACTATTGTAACCCTCCTCTCATGGCCTCTAAAGGAAGGCACTTCAATGACTTTCAAAATAATTTTTTCTTGTCTTCCAAAAAATATTGTTTCTATAAGTAAGGATTCTAGATTTTGACCTGTAGATGTCACAGCTTGAACGAAAGGAAAAAAGTACATTATTTTGAAAGAGAGTGAAAATATCAGATGGACCATTCCATTTGTCCATTATTATTTTATAAAACAAGTGAAAACTGAGTATAAATTCTTGATTGGCGTGAAAACACTTTCATCTCGTCCGTTAGGTATAACTTGGCCAAACAATTTTCAAATATAAGCTACCCCGCAAAATATGCGGTCTATCTGGATTCACATTAAAATTCACTGCTAGGATATTTTATTATCGATCATAATTATTTCGATTCAACATGAAGAAAATATCTTCGATCACTCTGTATAGCCCGCTGTGAGGCCCGTGTCCCACATTAGGTAACGAGGATCGAAAGACGGATTTCGTCAGTCACCCCTACGAATGTCCGCCCCTATTCCGACTGCGTTTGGAACATCGTTTCACATTCACCCAAAGACAGTGGCGTATCCAGAAGTTGGATTGGAAAATCTTGTTTTCAAAAAGTCATGTAAAACTTTTTTTTATGGTACAGTTGTTTTCAATTAAAAAGTGTACGTGTATACTAAAAAGAGAGGTCAACGTCATCCTAGTTCTAGTTGTGTAAATCTGGCTCAGCCGATGCTTTGTAATTTTTGACAACCTATATGACAACTGTCAACATTTGGTAAACAATCATTCCCGTTAGTCCGTTTTAAGCAAATAGGATGACGTTAATTTCTCTATCCAATAATTGTTTGCTTTTTTTAATAAAACTGTATCGAGGGGTGAAGCACATCAGAAATATCTGTATATCTTGCTGGAAATACTGGCAATCATCAGGAAATACGTGAAATATTCAGGCAATACACCGAGGGGTAAACCGCGGTCAAGATTGTGTACAATAAAACTTCAATTTCACAAGGAATTCCCAAGAATTCCAGTTGTTTGTACACCAGAATTATACCGCACTTCACACAAGGAATTCCAAGAAACTCCAAGGAATTCCAGGTAATTCTATAATAAGGAAATCCAAGGAATTTCAATGAAATCCAAGGAATTCCAGTTGTTTGTACACCAGAATTCCACCGCGGTTTACCCCTCGCAATATTTTGGAAATACATTAGCAATGCAAGAAATACCTTGGGGAAATACAGACAATATGAAGGGATCCTCGATGGGAATACAGGAATTTTTGGGAAATTCCCTTCTAGAAATACAGGCATTTTTCAGGAAATACTAAGGCAATTCAAGGAATATTTTGGGATTACATGCAATATGAAGGGAATATCGGCAATATGAAGGAAATACAGGCAATATGAAAAAAATAGACATAAAAATTTTAGGAAATACCAGCAATACTTAGGCAATACGAGCAATATTTTGGAAATAAAGGCAATATGAAGAGAGTACAATATGATGGAAATACAGATTTTCAGGAAACTTATAATCTCCTCTCCCTATCCTCCCTAGGTACGCACGATGTTCTTCGAACATTATAGGGATTCCCTTTCGTGCGCACCAAGCAATAAAACAATTGGAAATTGGTGTATTTCTATTGGAATATGGGGTGACCATTACCCCGTATTTTCCCTTATCTCCCCCGTAAATACGCCACTGCACAGAGATCGAATCCGGTAGTCAGACTCAGAATGGAGAAGTAGGTATTAGAGGTATCCCGAAACTCCGCGACCTAAACCGAGAAGCGAGAAGAAGAGATGAATACAGCACTCTTCTCTCGTCCCCCCCCCGCACCCCTGATGATTCGGATCGCAAAGTTCTAACATCCCACCATGTATATACGGTCATCGGACAAAGACGAGTTTCCAGTTCCGTTCGATACTGAATCTTGGGTAGAGAAACTAACATTTTTACCGGCGACTTTGTTGTTTCCATTGCTCTCTTCATTATGTCTGAATTCGAATATTATAGTTTATGTTCATACTCAATCTAATTGTTTTTTTTTTTTGTTCCAGGTGAGTGTCCCCATTGTCCCCATAGAAACAAAAGAACCTATTACCACTGTAATTGCCACCCAAGTTGCCACCCATGATGTGAGTATTTTTTTTCGTGTACATATTTTCAATTCAATATTTTTGTTTTGTCCGATTTGATATCAACTAACATTGTACTTATTCAATCTCGTATCCTGTTATTTGACGAAGTTATATTTTCATGGCTTTTGCTTACACCTAATTAACGAACATGTTCTGCTTTTCACTCTGTTTTGCAATATTCTGGAAATATCCTCATTTATATTGCGTTATATGGATGGAGTTTTGAGTTTCGAAGAGAAAGTACCTTACCTATTCATCTTTTCCATGAAACTTCTCTAAAGTTTTCCATCTACTTACACTGCAAATCGAACTGGTTCCAAGAATATTCCTCAGCTGTTCAGGCACGTTAAATTACCTTCTTCCTCAAAAAGAAGCAGATGCGCAAAGACAGGTGGATGAAATGGTACCTTGTGTGATACTAAAGGACCTAGCAAAGCCACTTACGAATTTCAACATGAGATACATCACATAATTTTGGGCTCATTCTTGGCTTATTTATTACCCAATTCCCAATTTGTTTGCTCCTCTCTATCAAAGAAAAATCTGTGGCTTTGGCTCAACTCAGCAAAACCATGTTTTGAAAATATGGTGGAAATATAGTTCTTATTTTAGGCCAATTTATCACCCTATATTCCTATATTTTTTTGTTTCTCTCCACCATAGAAAAATCTGTGGCTTTGTAGGCTTCGGGCGACCGCAGCTGAGCCATTTTTGAAAACATCGATTATTCACCGATTTGACAGATTGGGATTAAATGGCTATTACCCTATTCTCAAATTTTTTGATCGGCTTTTTTAGATAAAAAAAAGAAAAGATTTGTCGAAATACGCGTTCAGAGGCACTCGATTAGGCATTATGCATTTTTGTATCAAAAGCAGATTTCTTGGCAATTTTATGAGGCAAAACAATAAATAGTATTGATTGCATAGGCTCAATTACAATCTCATTTTGGAAATGTTTGCTGCATATTTTTTAAAAGAAACCTGTGTGGCATTTCTAGCTTCGGGCAAACTCAGCAGAGCCATATTTGAAAAGACTATATATTTATCGATATTGTACCGATTTCATGTATTAGTATTCGAAGGCTCATTATAGGCTGATTAATTTCCCTATTTTCAAATTTTCAGACTCAACTGAAGAAAAAAACCGAAACGATTTGTCGAAATACGCGATTTTCACTAACGCTAGAACATTATGCATTGATTAAAAGAATATTTTATGACGATTTTATGAGGCAAAGTGATAGTTATTGATTGTAGACTCAATAACTATTCCATTTTGGGATTTTTGCTGTATATTTTTTTATAGACCTGTGGCTCTGCTGTAGCTTCAGACGAACTCCGAATACCGAGTGTATTGAAGTAGTCAAAACATCTGGGCAGATTTTATGTGAAATTGCGAAACATCTACGTATAAATGTTCAGGTGTTTTATAGACAATTCACTCGCCAAATTGCCATGCACATAAATTTATGCTTGTATTATATTCGGAACTGTAAAATACAACGTAAAATACAATAAACCCGCACGGATTTCATTGAGCTCTTTCTGCGCAAATTTCATGCCAGAGTGAACAAACCATATACGGTCGTATTAATCGTGTAATTCTAGTATCATGTAAGTATCCGCGAAGAATCCAAAGTCTCTTTATGCTCACGTAGTTGGCAAACGAGATCCTTGAATAGTCTAAACTCGTTAACGTAAAAGACTAAAAAGAGTTCATAGTTATCGATATATCGATATTTTTGAAATTACATATCGATACACCAATTTTATCCCACGCCTAGCTCATAATAATCTCATTTATCCTCCAAACCGAAGGTTATAGACTCTTCAACCCTCGCTTCAACCACACTAATTGAATCAGCATAAAAACTACCTACACGGAAAAAAAGGATTTGTTGCATCAACAAATTTTTAATGCTTGTATTATTTTTGTTGTACTGTACCAGCTACATGATTATTTCATGGAAGCAGCTTGTTCATGAAGAATGTAGTCTAATTGGATCAACAGTATAATATCAATTCCATCCATAAAATATATGGCTTTCTCAAAAAAATTATGTCGATCCAAAATAATGTCGATGTTGATTCAAATATAAACATTTTGTTGATTTGATGAAATAATGATCAGTTTGATGAAATGATGATCATTTTGATGAGAATATATCTTTGAAAGAACATACAAAGTTTTTTTATTCCGATAAAGCAATGAACTCGTTTCGAACAGATCATTCGCTTGAATAGAGCAACGAAATATGTAATATCAATGATATATTCTGTTGATTCTACATCAGGTTGAATTTTCGCCTCTAGATGGCGATCATTTCGCCTCGTCTATGCCTGCCTCGAATTCATTATATACGTGAAGCTCGACTAGTTTCCTAGTTTAGTTCATTCTATTGATGAGAAATTCTAGAAAATTCCCGAATGAATGCTGAATTTGGTTCAACAAAACAATTTGACGAATGGAAATACAGTTTCTCTTGAATCAACGAAATATTTCATTGAATCAACAAAATATTTCATTGATTTAAAGAAATATTTCATTGAATCAACCAAATATTTCTTTGAATCAACCAAATATTTCTTTGAATCAATATCTTGTTATTTCGAATCAAACAAAATGATTGTTTGAGCCAATTCAATATCTCTTCATAAACAATTCATGGATGTGCTTGATTGAATAAGATCCAGAATTCATGCGAGACATATTTACTTAATTCAAATTTCAAATTCGCTCTGAAAGAAGATATAGATTTACTCATTTCAAGATTATATTTTGTCGTGCATATATGACACTTGCTTGATTCAACAATTCCTTTTTTTTCCGTGTACATACCTACCTACATAATATATTTTCATGCTTGAAAAAACCTGACAAAAAAAATTTAAATTAATTTCAAAAATACTATAACCTCGGTTATGACATATATTACGAAAGCGTCTAGGGGTCACACAAATAAAATTAATTAATTTTTTCCAATATATTGAGATAGTTATCGATATATCGATAGTTAACGATATATCGATAGTTATCGATATATCAATAGTTATCGTTATATCGATATTTTTCCCAGGCCTAGTCTGGATTGTTTCACGTACTCACTTGTCTACCAGCGCTTATTGTCTTTCTGCCTTTAACTAAGTAGAAGTACTATATAGGTAAGGTTTTATGTATTATGTATACTTACGTGAGTTCAGTTTGACGATTAGATTATTTGGCCATGCGATCGTCTCATGAAATGTGAATGTTATATAGATATAGAAACAAAATGGGTACGGACTATATTTATATTGAACTTTGAGTCTTAAGGATTCCATCACGTGATACCAAGTATGAAATTTCCGACAAAGCATGCTCGGTATGATATTGATACATATTGCTAATATGTTAATATCGTACCATATTTATTTAATTCACGAAATCTCTGAGTTACACAGTAAAAAGAAAGTAACAACCTATATTATGAAGTATGGCTAGTGAATTATTTGAATATTATGGCTAATACTTCTAATTTTAATTAATATGGAGATGAAATCTTCTTGTGAAATTAGCAATCAAAAAGTGTCCAATTTGAAATTCCATACTTGTTGTCATTATACTGGTAAGTGTACAGGGTCTCCCAAATTGCTTGATTTTGGCAGTTTTTCCTATTTCCAGATCAGAGCTAGAGAAAAACTGACCAAGGAGTCAAGAGCTCGATTTTTGTGAAACGTCGATTGGTGAAAACCGCATCTCGATATCTCTAACCGTGTTGGAGATATTGGCTAAAATTGACATTTGCCAAATTTCGAAAATATGATGCCATAACATTTTTATTTTTTAATATTCATTCAAACGGAAAGAACTTTCTAATTTCTAGATGCACTTTTTAACTTGGAATGAGATACACCTGCCAAAAAGACTATATCGCTTATCAACGTTGTTATCTCAAATAGAAACCATAGTTGGCTTCGACTCCAGAAAAAGAGGCTTTCCAAAAATATATATGTCAAGATATGTAGTCATCCATCGCCTTACTGTTAAAACAAAAACAATACAACGTTGGTTTTGATATTTGACAATCGATACGCGATATTTTTTTTTGCAGCTGTATCTCATTCTACGTTGAAAAGTGCCTGTAGAAAGATCTTTCCGTTTGAATAAATATCCAAAAATGCAAATGTTATGGCATATTCTTGGAATTGGTCAAATGTCAATTTTCGCCAATATCTCGGAAACGGTTGGAGATATCCAAATGCGGTTCTCACCAATCGATATTTCACAAAAATCGAGCTCTAGACCTCTTGGTCAGTTTTTCTCTAGTCGCTCTGGAAATAGGAAAAACTGCAAAAATCAAGCAATTTGGGACACCCTGTAGACTCAAGGATAAACTATCGTGAGACAAGCGCATTCATTGCCCCACAAAAGAAAATGACTGTATTCTTTCAACATGTGATAGACGCCAATTTTTGACGAGATAGCTCATCATTTCGATAATGATCATACCAACGTATATGCATTCCGCAATCCTCAATTATCGATCTATTAGATTCCTGATATTCCTGATCCAAATGTTGTGTACTGATAGGATACAGAATATATCTATAGAAATGCAAATTGATTGGTCGTTTCATACCGCATAGAATTAGGGAAGTGCCCACCATGGTGAACTATGACCAGGACCAAGCCAACTTTGAAATTTTGACTAATTTTTCAATGGTCATCAGTTTTTTTTTGGGCGGTATACAGGGTGGGTCATAACTATTGAAAAAGGCTAAGGGCGGATTGATATAGGACCGATAATGCCTCAAATTTTGTGCTTATAATTTTTGCTAATATATTTATCAATTGAGAATATTATTTTATGTATTATTCTACGGTTTATTACACGCAAGTGATTCCTGATGTTGAAATCGACTGATAGCTTTTTTTTACGAACTTTTTTATATAGGGATTTTGATGTAAAAATATGACACACACATAATTTCTACTTAATATTGTTAATCTCATTTGAAAACGATATTTTTCATCTGTTTTCTAGGAAAACGCAATCGAACAGTTCAAAGTCTCGGAAGGAGGTTTAAAATATTATTCCATTTATGGAGAGTACGCACTTTGGACTATTATAGATAATTGTTGCTGGTGAATAACATTTCTTGTCCTCAGTGAATGAATTTTGGTGCGAGTATATAGTCAATACTTTTTCGATTGAAACGCCCTGTTTTTTTTTCCACATCAATTGAGGCAAATTTGGTCCTCTATCGCCATATTTTGGTCCAAACCGAGATTTAAACAATCCGCCCTTATAGCCTATGTTCCAATAGTTATGACTCACCCTATATTTTTCATTTTCCAATGTGTTACCTTTGACGACCTAGTAAAAGTTTCTATAGTATAGTATAAAAACATATCCTTCCAACATACCTACCACCTAGGTACCTACTGATACCTACAACCAACGAAAATCATTGCAGTATATATAGCTCATTTTCAGTTATCCATAGTTTTATTCGCAAAATTGGCAAAGCTTCATATTATTCACTTTTCCTTCTCATTAGCTCTTTACATTTTAGGCATAATTTATAGATTTTTCCGTTATCGGCATTGTGCAATGTGCAAACAAATGAGAAGATCTTTGTTCGCGATCCATCGAGAATTCCGATGTTCTGACGTTGGTTAGTTTAGTCGAAGATGAGTTTATTTTTAGCGACAGCATTAACCGAACGATCAACAATGTCATTTTATTGAAGACGGCTCTGTATGTACCTATTGAATCAATTGAATGCGTTGCAAACGTCGAGTGAATTTCCAATGTTGTAAATCAATTACATCCTTCTTAGTATATTCACATATACACCAGATAAGAATAATATATACACAAAATGAATATGTATAGTTAGTTGTTTATCATGAGTTCATCGCGTTACGTGTTTTCAGATAAGTGCTATTTTAATTATTTCTCATTGGCTTGAATTGTTTGCTTTTTTCCCTGGTTATGGATCATTTCGACAACCATGGAAAAATTCGGTAGGTTATCTGAAATTGCCACTCAAGGTTGCATGCCCATTTAACATGATTGTTATAGCTTTCATCAGTTGGTTATTTTGTTGCCAAGTTGAGATCAGCTGAGTAAACACCGAATTAAAAAGAAATCGTCTCGGAAATCGTCGGTATGTTGATCTCATGTTTTTTACCAACGTATACCTATACCTACTTATCAACCGTACTTACACCTAACTAATCATACCTACAAAGATTTTGTCTTATATAACCTATACCTACCTATATTGTTTCACGCAATCAGAATGAACATGTAATTTACTTTTGTTTCCACAGCTTGATCTGAATTCTGAAAAGACTTTCACTTTATCGAATGTATTTTATTAGAACAATTTTAGAACAATTCGCCGTAGGACGGTACAGGATGTAGATATGCATTGAACATAATGAAACATCTATGAAAGTTGTGAGAATCACAAATCCAAAGTCGTAGTATCAAAGTGTAGGACGAAGTTGATTAGGTATAACAATTTTGTGAATACCTATCATCGACTGTTTAGTGAACTGAAAGAGTTTCCTGAAAAATTTCATGAATACATGAGAATAGTGACCATTAAAACATTAACATGGGTATAGGCAGGTATTTTAAATTTAATTCGAGAACGGCATTCGAACACAAATAACACAATACACTTTTTCCCTCCTTTCACTTCAAAAACAACTACGACACTGATAAAAAAAGAAAATACGGCGAGTGTTTACCCGACCTTGAGCGCACCAATCTTATATCAGATATTATTTGTGTGATTTTGGGCATCATTCCTGGAGAGATGCTTGAAAATCAAACGAATTTGATGCCTCAGAAATGGCGAGGTGATACTCGATTCTTCACTATGAATGGTTTGTGATTTGTATTTTAATAACTTATTACCTATGAATGTACCTATTTGTTTTTGATGCTTGAGGCGATGCTTAATGCAATACTTCACTATATGTTCCTACCCCTTACTCGACATTACATTCACAAATTCAATATCAAATCAATTAAATCCACCTCAATCTGATTATGATAATAATAGGTAGGTACCTAGTCAACCAACCTATCTGATTCTATGAAACATGGACGTATAGTTTATACGTCCATGCTATGAAACATTTTCAGCAATAGGTGCCAATACCTCAAGATCTTCAATTCTGATAGGATGTTAGCAAAAACTGACGTGCCCAACTACCTACTCACCTATATATTTATTACATTGAAAGAATGTTTTTGAGAAGGGAGAAAAGGTAAATTCACATATGAATTCAAAATCATGAACCTACCATTTGTGGTTAGATGATGATTTTATTCTAAAAACACGAAAAAATGCTTACAGAAAATGGTTGCAAATCAAATAAGAATAAATAAATCACTTCACAGCAGTCTAATTCCGAGTCCCCACAAAATGATGAAAATCCATTTAATCCAAAGAAAGCACAACAATTTTCACACCAAAACTCGCGCGCTATTTCCACAGTCTCCTCGATTCCGAATTCATCAATCAAAATGGCGATCTTCAAGATTTTGTTTCGAAGAAAGTGAACGCGGGAAACCGCGTCGTGGGTTCAACGATCTTTCAACGCCACAATCAAAGTAGTCGGTTGACGATCTAGTGGGCTCGCGAACCCAACACGCACTAGCTACATTACAACGATGTGAACGGCAACGCGCTCAAACGCGGAATGAAAATGAATCAAGTTGGCATCGGCGAACCGAACGCAACCGTCTCGCCGATTATTTTTGGGGAGGCGGTGTTGCCGGGTCGAGCGTTCGCTCGAGATCGGTGCATTATGCCGGATCTCCGGTTGACTGAAGCTATTGACGTTTCCATTGGTAGATTTACGCGAGTTTTTGTAAACGAGCCAATGGGATCGGATGTAGCTAACGTCGTCGCAGCGGATGATTCATGCGAAAGAGCCATAAGAGGTGTTACTCGGTTGGAATATGGTTTTTAGTTGGAACTTGGAATCGAACCTCGACTCGAACATTTTATGAGCAAGGGAGTTGCAATCGCTTTGTCATGTTTTGTGCTTCCGAAAAGAGATGGGTTGGTGATTTGTTATCGGATATATCAGGACAGAATAATGTTTCAAAATATACGTTAGAACGGTAGAAAATTACCAAAGATAATGAGTTGAAGCAATCGTTACAGATATTTCCATTATCTTTGTTTTTAGTCTTCAATGCTCTAATTCACGTTTGTTTAGTATAACAGCCCTTTAACACGATCTAGGATTTTTATGGTATAGCCTATAAATCAATGATGGACCGCTTTATGATACCTGCCAAATAGCTATTTGGCTGATTACAGATTTTAATTAACTTCTTCCACGCTAATTGATCTGAATTATATGTATATTATGTACCTATCTATATAACTGAAAAATATAAAATATATATCTACCTATAATAGGGCAGTCATATAAAGTACGAAAATGGATGGAGTTGATCTGAAATTCTTGTAAAGCTATCACATCAAATTAAACCTAATAGTTCCAAAATTTTATTTTAATCTGTGTTCCTATCACTCTGCCTGCCCGGAAGTAGGGTTTAACAAGGGTGCATTATTGGCAAAGGCTTGATGACAGTTCGTACGAAATAGTATATTACGAAATATGTGTTGTAATAAGCATATTACGCACGAATGGTTAAGTGCGTAATTGCTTTACAACACGCACTACGTATTATACTCTACCTACTGCCATGTAGTACATCAAACAAGTTTGGACAAACAGTCTGAACTATAATTCTTGACAGTTATGTCATCCGCTGTTGACGGCGATCACGCGATCATGACTGGCAAAATAAACGAAAACTGTACGTTGTGCTTACTGTGCGTAAAGAGTTACTTACTAAGACTGTATCTCGTGTGTTCTTGCCTACTTTCTATAATGGCCGTAGATAAAGGAATTGAAAATTTACATGTTCATCGATGCAATCGTTATTGTGGTTTGATTGATTCCAAGTGCTCTACTAATTATATTCATAAACTTAAATGCATGAGGAAGAACTGAAAATCTGTTTTGAATCAACAGTGTCAATACTTGATTCTTGTTTCCAAATATTCTACCCGGTCGGTAGATCCACGGAAATCTACGGTGAAGCGGCAACACCGTTGACCGGTTATTCAGTAAATGATCCCAAGTCTGGCCGGCGAGAAGGAGAGAGATCGGTCTGCCGATGGTGACACATGCGCGATGCCAGAGTCGTAAACGAGCGCGCGGCGCCAGCTGATAGCTGAAGGCGGTGTTGCCGGTCCAATGGCCTCGATGAATGGCATTGCAAGGTCTGTCTCGGTGCAGTGCAGTGCTCGTGCGGTGGATATGTAGACATGTGCGGTTCTCGCAGAGTCTCCTCGCGCTATGGAAGGGCTCATCCAGGCTCTCCTGGTCCAGAGGTACTACTACGGCTTCGGATACCAGGTAGGCTCTGGTGAAATTCGACGTTCCCGAGGGACGGCGGGACGAACACGTGGTTCGTCGGTTACGCCGCCTCGGATCTGTTGACCTACTCTTGCGGCGCTCATTGATTTTACGCGGCCAGACACACAACGTTCTGCTGGGGGATTTAACACGCGCTTCACCTACTATACCTACTCGTCTGACGCGTTAATTTGACTCGGGCGTTTGGTCGTTTTGAATTTGAACTTACCTTTACGTGCCTGCCAGTGTTGGAGGACAACTTTAGGTTGGTTTTCTTCAGGGATCGTAGGAGTTTTAGGAATGATTGTGGCGGTTTTGATGACTGCGGATATTTTATAAATTCGTTGTATAACGTTGAATTAAAGTCTAATAGGTAGCTTTGCTACATAGGTACTCATGAACGTTTTCAATTATTATTCACACGTCACGTTGTTCGCATGCGTTTTATTACATATTTATCCCATCAATTGCTTTTATAATAAACTTCTGGTTGAATAAAATGGTATATCTTCCCTGTGAAGGTATACCTACGTATTTTGTCGTCTTTGCTTTGGCTTTTGGTTCGATACGTCACCGTCATTCGACATTCCATGCAGCACATGTGAAGTTTCCTGTTCTCTCAAACCTTTTACATTGCTTACATCCTCTTCTTATATACATCTCCCTGTCTTCATGCTTACATACAACGCCCTTCACGCATTACAAGATGGATAAAAGGTGGACTTATCCTGCGAAGAAATTTTGGTTTTGGTTGTCTTACCTTATCGTAGGATTATTTGTTATTGACAGCTCAAGTATGTTTTTCCACCACATTCCTTTGGATACCTATATCTAATACCACTAATACCTACCTGACATGAAATTGACCAACATTGGTTTCCGTTTTACATAGGTATCTTATCAATACCAGCTTTCATATTCATTTTCTAGGTACTCGTTTATAAATAACTTGTTTGTTGAAAAAAAAAAAAGTTTTGATGAATGGAAATGGTATTATAGGTATGGGTAGAGCTGATGGGTATTCTCAATAAATCAAATATCGGTCATCAACGGACGAGTTTCTGTTGGTTTGATTCAATGATGTCTTGAATAAAGAAAGTGTCAATATTATGTAGGTATAGGTAGGGTTGCAGGTTGAAGCAATCGTTGTTAATTTTGTAATTTGAGGCGTGGTGGAATTATTGTCGAGTATGAGATTAACCGTTACAAACTGGCAGCTGATTGTGCAACGCTTTTCAAATTACCAATATGGTATGTCACATGACACTGTTCGTTTGTATTCAGTAATTATTATTGTCATTCAGCCTGGATCACGATCATATGAATTGACACATAAACTCACTTCTCGGTATCAGTGTAAGTTCCTATAGTTCATATAATAATCTGAAAAATAATTGAATATGATCAGGTGTGATCGCTTTATGTGATGATTAAACTGATAAATCTCAATAATGATGACCCACCCGGTATATTGTTTTATCTGATAGAGTGTATACAGGGTGGGCCACGGTCGAGGTACCTTAGTAATACCAGTCAGACGAGCTCAATAGGCCCAGTCAGCACATCCCTTCGTCGTTAACCTTGAAAAATCTCGAACAACACGTTCGTCTATAGAACGGCGAAGCTTTGGAACTCTTTGCCAATGAAAGTCTTCCCAAGAACTTATAACCTCCAAAAGTTCAAAAAATTTCCAACATCTACCTCCTCTTCCTGTCCTCTCCAGGAACGCGCGATGTTCCACGAACATTATAGGAATTTCGGGATTTCCTTTCGTGCGCTCCAAGAGATGAAAAAATGGAGAACGGGACATAGGATCATTCTGAAAATTTGGTTACTCAAGTAGTTGCTCTTGGTCTATCGATCTAAAATATTTTCAGCAATGCAGCGTTGCCGCCTCGGTTGCCGCTTATGCCAGAAAGTAGTAGTATTCAAATGGAATACCCTGTATTCCATTGCATTTTCAGATTCTTCCTGAAGAGCTGATTTCATCAATGCATCACACTTGGGGTCGAGCGGGAATGAATTAAGATATATAGGGTGTTCAAAATAGAGATTTTTCAACTGTCGAAACTATTATTGATTATGGGTCAAAACGGCTCACATGTCCCTATCTCGACTTTCTATCTATTGAACACACGATAAGAATTCGAAAACGAAATCTTCTGAAGTAGAGAATTTGCATTCTCCTTCATATAAAGATATATACACATAATATCATTTTGAATATTCAACAGAAAACAACTACTTTCCTGGCTATTTGCCATGTCGAACATTGAATTCTCAATGTAGTTCGTTATACATATATGTCCATTTTGTTATGTTCATAATTATATCTGAGAATATTCCTTTTCAATACTTTCACCCAATCAAGGAAGGGGTTCAAACTTGAACGATGGAAACTTGTTATCTTTATATAGACCTTCAATCGCAGGTTTTCTCAATTCTGAATTTCTTTCCACGTCTTATATGATGAATATCAATTTATCATACATCCAAAAACGAGATTTTCTGAATATTTTTTACCTACAAGATTTTTTTGTGTCGTTGATATCACTATTTGCCATACAGGACTAGGTTGTTCATCGGTCAACCCTCGTGTCAATTTCTCATTTGATGTTGTTCGTTCAAAAGTTGTTGAAGGCAGGGAAGAAGGTGGGGGATTGAAACTCATCTCAAGCTCGTATCTAGGTATCTACCGAACTACTTGAACGGCATCTCATTCGATTTTTTCATATCACCACAACAGAGATTCCGGTTTATTCATTCAATTTATCGCGAATTGAGATGACGTCAGGTTCGCCATTTGTTTGTGAAATGCCAAGTAAAGTTTGTACTCACTACTCAGTCGCGTATACCTAATCGATAGCGAACCCATAGTTTGACCTTATTATTATTAGAAAGGATATACCACAGATAGTGAGGAATGGAGTTTATTCTTATTTTAGGAGCCTGAAGAATAGACAGTAAGTCCGATCATTTTACCTGTGTTTAACCCGAGGGGCGAACCGCAGACGAAAATTTGTACACCTGACTTCACATTCTCCTAAGACTTCACTGACTTCATCGAGACTTCACTGACTTCATCATGACTTCACTGACTTCATCATGACTTCACTGACTTCATCGAGACTTCAGTGAATTCATCGTGACTTCACTGACTTCATCAAGACTTCACTGACTTCATCGAGACTTCAGTGACTTTATTCGTACTTCTTGGAACATGTATTTCTTGGTATTCCACAGACTACTTGATACTTCTCAAGAGATTTTCGTTGAGATATTACGTTGAGAAGTGACGTCATTATCTAGTTCATTAAACGAACAAAAAATAGGGGGAAAAATCGTATAGTCGTGAATTTCTGTAGAGTGATGAAGAAAAGTGCTATGAACAACATACTAAAAATCCTGACCTCTAGGGGATGAGCGGGGCAGTAGTGGAACGTTTGAAGGTAATTTTCTCAAGTTGTTCTTGAATAATTCGACAATCGTGAATTCTAGCAAAAAAATGGAGGTATACAAAATTGAACAACATGGAATTGCCTATGATGCGTCTCTATTAATTTTTCGTCTACAATGAATAGTTCCTGAGGAGGAGAAAAAATCGAGAAGTATCAAAAATAGAGTTTAATGGTTTGAAATTCATGTTCAATGTCTCACATCATGGAATTCGTGTTCAACGTGGCTGATAACAGAACAAAATACATTATTCCTTGAAAACAAGCATATTGAATGTATACGTTCTAATAATTGACAATTATAATCATCATCTTCGTCCACATTTTCCATATCCAGCAACATTCGTATATATACGTATCGTGGCACATGCTGCACACAGCGGAGCATGGAATTTCAACTTTTCATATTGTCTCCCACATTCAGTTGAACATCGGCAAAAGATGCTGTTCATTATCGCTTCAGGTGCTATACTGGATCATTCGTTGTCACTGGGATGAGCGATCCATCCCGTTACTGTTTTTTGTTCTCGAAACCTCCAACTTTCATACTTGCAAGGGAAATGTTTCTCAGAAATCTGTTCTATCATTCAATCACTAGCAATACCAGTCAAACAAACTCGACAAGTCCCGTCAGCACATTATTTCGTCTTCAACCTTGAAATAGGTCGAACAACTCTTTATACGAAAACTCGTTTGTTTATAGAACGGCGAAGCTTTGGAATTCTTCGTCAAAGGAAATTTTCCTAAGAACTCCTGATCCCCAGAAAAGACATTTCCAATATTTACCTCCTCTTCCTATCCTCCCTGGGTCTAAGGATGTTTTCTTCGAACATTATAGAGATTACCGTCCGTGCGCTCCAGTAGATCAAAAAAGTCACTATATTATTCACTAATCCACGTATCCCTTTTTTATCAACGTTTTATCAACTACTGACAATATCACCGAGAATATCACACTCACAAATTGAACACTTTTCAGTCATTGTTTATAGATAACCTCTTATTCAAGTGAAAAACTCACTAAGCCCATAGGTATTCATTTCAGGAAACGCCAGGAAATAGTGAGACATTGAACATTGATTTCGTACCCATAAACTCTATTTTTGTTACTTCTCGATATTTTCATCCATTGTATCCTAAAAACTATTCATTCTAGACAAAACGCGAATGAAAACTTTTTTATAGGACATTTTATGTTGTTCAATTTTGAATAATTTAAATTTTTTACTAGAGGTTGCGATTTTCGAATTATTCAAGAACAACTTGAAAAAATGACGTTCAAACGCTCCCCTATCGCCCTGCTCATCCCCTATGGGTCAGGACTTCAAGTAAATTGTTCATGACACTTCCCTCTACCACTGTACACAAATTTGCGACTACACGATTTGTTCACCCTATTCGACCTATTTTAGCGTTTGTTGTTTGAACTAATGATCGAATGTATAGTATTGATAACGCATATTTTCCTAATATAATAATATGATATTATTCTTCTTGAAATTCAGACAAACCTGGTACGTATTTATATTACGATTTTCAGTAACG